ATAGTAACCCAAGCATTATAGGTACGACGTGTGCAATAAACAATATTCATTTTAGAATTTTTCCTCGATGTATATAAAATTCCAAATCATTGTAAAAAATGTTAGATTTCATCTTCATCGTATGTATGATTAAAACTTTTAGTATAAAAAAATCCACAGTTTATTCCATTTAATGTTAAAACAGAAGTATTTAAAAATATACCTATCGTTTAAAAAACAGAGTATTTATTGAACTTTTTTAACTTACCATCATTTTTAAAATAAGTTTTTCTTTCAACATCTAATTTGCTTTATTTTGTATTTCATATTTATAAATTTTTGCATAAAATACACGTTAAGCACAATATTTATTAAACATAGTGCTTTCGTTCCGTTAACGACCCATATCTTGCAAGGGCATAAAGAGCACGATCGATTAATCGATCGGTCGGTCGGTCAGTCGGTCGGTATACTGCCAGTCCCACGTGCAATATACTAGTGCATTTTCTAATGAATCTAACGCGCTAAAAAAATTCGTGCTCTTATAATCTTTTAAATTTCTCACGATGCTCCGATTTCCTGAGTTAATACATTCCTCCAAAAATCGAAAGTCGCAAGACAAAACTGAAAGCTACGTGCAACTCCAACGGCAGCTATATCTCAACTCTCCTCCTCCTCTTAACAGTCGTCTCGTCTCGTTGTCATCAAGCGAGGAATTGTTTCCAAGTAATTAAACTGCCCTAGCCCGTGGTGCCCCTCTGCCACCTTCTACCTCCCAACTTTTACCGTTAAAACTCGAGTCACTAGTTGTGTTGGATCGTTTATCGCACATATATTATGCTCCTTCCTGTGCTATATAACGGCGTACCAGCTCGCAGGCTTGTCAATAGGGCGTAAAGACTCGGTTATTTCCGAGGAACTACGAACCGCAAGATTTTAATTGTACGATAATCTCAGTACAAGAAAATTGTTGTGCAACATTTTATTTTTAAAAGAGAGATGATAATATCAGGTAAAACGATATTTAACAATATCATACATCTACAGGTATTTCCTCTACCTATAAGTATAGTTATTTGTTTCAGCAAATTACGAGTAATGAGCGAAAAAACGTAGCGAGGAACCTTAATTTGGCCAATTAGAATTTTCTCCTTCGCCCCGATTACACCCGATCGAAATTCAGTTGTGGTCTCAAGTATACGTCTATAGGACGACAAGAAGTTCCAGTCACTAAAATAGGATGTCCTTGTACTCGCTTTTTTTTTTGCTTGATGGGTATACTCGTATAAATATAGTGATACGTGTATCAACTGTATACGTAACGATGGTCAACTATGTCAAGATATAATTTACCATACATTTTCCGTCATCAGATACATTAAAAGATTAGCTCAAAGCATAAAAAAAATGTTTCGACAGTCTTATTTTTATACCTGTATTTGAATATTACGTCCTGTACGTATAGGTAAGCGAGTACCTCGTTAGCTCGTTGGTTTTCAAGTGCTAAGAGCATTCCTCCACTAGTATGCAAACAACTTTATAAATGCAGTTTACGAGTGCGTACTTGTGTACAAGTGAGATTTTCTCTCGCACGGAAAAAAAAAACGAGTAGCGAGTGACAGCAGCTCAGCTTCCCTCGTAATACACGTTTGTGGGTGGTTGTGTATATGTATATTCAAGGTACACGCGTGCGGTGCGTGGGTGAATAAGGTACGGCTCGCTTGCTGTAGCTGCTCCCCTCTCCCTCCCTCACAATATATAATCGATAAGGGCGGGGTTCGCACTCGAAAGGCGCGCCACCGGCCGCGGCAGTCGAAGCTCACGTAGCACACAGGTACCTATATGTATACCATGCCGTACCTATATAGGTGTGCTTCCTCATCCCTGGCCCGTCCCGTGGCAACAACCCGCCTGGCGAAAGAAAAGGAAATAATGTTGTGGCAAACTCACTTTGGTGGAATTTCAGCTCTCCTCTAGGTCTCTTTGCGTCACGTTTACGCATATTTAAATGTGCCTTGTATTTTCTTTGCCTCGTGCATGTACAATGCTGATGTTTATATGGATATGATCGAGGATATGATTGTATCAATCACTTTAGCCAATTTCTGTTTTTTTTTTTTTTTTCAAATCTCTCCGACGATTGTGTTGGATAAAAATAGTTTTAATCTGTAATTTGTAATACTTTTTTATGCACAATTTTTCATTCAGAAATTCAAGTCAATTACTATAAATAAACGTCTAGCTGTATTCCACGTTTTTTCAAGTCATAAATTTTCTCTGAAAAAACTTCAACCTCGACATCAAGATGTTTTTCGTATTTTAATTAACATTATTTGGTTTAAGTACTATAATCTCAATGCAATTAAACATTTTTTATCTAAAATTGGTAGAAATTTTAGTTATACGTCAAAAAAAACTGATTTAAATTTAAGGTTAGTCAGATAGTTGACTTTAATATTAATTGAAAAATTATTTTACTGTCAAATAATTTTAGTTAAAAAAAAAAATTTTAAAGTACAGCTGTATTATGTCGAGGTGGCGCGGAGGAGGAGGAGGGGGTTCACTGGAAGCGCTGGGATCTGCGACAGAGTCTGTGACACTCCCTCCAGATGTCAGCAATTTCTTCGGTCTAGTTTGGTTTCTGGCTTGAGCTGGCTAATTTCAAAGGCATACTTGCATCACACGATTTTCTGATGCATTGCGTGGGGGTTCTCACGACCTGCTCTATTTTCGTTGGTTCAGAGATGCCGCTTACGTCACCCGAAGGTGTCGTATTGGTCAGGGCTTCGTGAAATGTATCTTGATTGAGTCGCACAGCATTCTACTCAGTGGCTGGTGCCTTGACTGCTTGACTGCTTCCCGCATTACAGTACCTTGCAACTCACCAAGTTTAAAGGATATGAACTGTTGATCACTCGTCGAGTAGTCTTCTAAAACCCTCTAGTCAGACACCCGCTCTGCCATTCCTAGCGTTGCGAGTGTTACATTTACTATTAAACCCCTGGTTCTTATTCGCCTGTACATCGTCTTGTCATCAGTTTAATACGGTGAGGTTGAGACTTAAGGCCATTTTTAACACCGTCAGCCCCTAAGTATCGGTTTGTGTTCCACCCCAAGTGGTGGCCTTAGAATTAAGGTCGCTGACAATGACTACGTCACCCCTTCCCTTTAACACATGCACGGCGTCCTCAAAGCAGTGAACTGGTTTCCAAAAATACCAATCGTTATGCTAAAGGTAATGGACACACTAACATAGGTTACACGGCCACTTCTGATTCATGAAAAGCTGCTCCTGACTCCGAAATCGGCACCTGGGAACTTGTCTTTATTGCAGACTATTATTGCCGCTGTACCCGTGAGGACATAGTGCCAGCACGCTGTTGGATTATCACGGTATTGCTTGCTTATTTTGATTAGTGCCACTACCCAGCCCCGAGAGTACTGGTCCCAGTACTTGTGAAGCAGTGCTTGTGAGAGCCAGGACCTCTGTAGGTTGCTCTGCAGGATTTGTGCCATCCTATAGGCCTGTCTTTTCCAGCCTTGAGGGCCGCACATACAGTAGATTCTGCCACACGGTAAAGACTAGGTATTGAGGTTATTTTTGGGCAAATGTAGCTCTACTTCTTTAGCGGAGTAACCAATAGCCTGATGACAACTCTTACAGCACCTTCAACATGCTGTTGTTCTGCTGGTGCCCTTGCAGTTACCTGCAAGATGCTTAAACCATAATCATCTAAAAAGCAGCGTTTGGGTCTGATAATTGCTGGGCTGAACCTGCAGTTGATCCAGCCTAGCCATGAATAGTCCTTATTATTATTGACCGCACTGGCCGACGAAGGTGCCTTAAAATAGTCGATCCGGTTTCCCCTAATACTGCTAGACGATAATCGTACGATGATATTAGGTGCTCTCGCTTTGCTTGTTGTGGCACCAAGGTCCAGACACACCCAGCTTCCGTGATTGCGTCAGGTAGTGCTGTTGTGAAGTTGTCCAAATTTTTAGTAGAGGTGTCGTTTAGTTTAACAAGGACTCTACCGGCCCTTGTTTCTCTGACAGCCCTTACTCTTGCTCCTTTTTTGCCCACGTCCACTTTCTTTTTAGGGATAAGGACTTTGGCGTATTTTCTGCACTTTGAGGGTTTGACCAAGTTTGCCTCTGGTCTTTTTCTTGGACGCTTAGCTTTCACCTTGTTAGAAGGCGTTTCCTCTGTGACTTCGTGTACCTTCTTTATTTTTGGTATTTTTTCTCAAGTTCGTCCACTTAAGATCATGTGTCTCCATTGGGTCACTCGAGGAAAGTGTCTCTTTTCTACTTTTGGATCTGTTTCGGTTTTTTTGTTTTTTTTTATTTATTAGGCTGAGAGTTCCTCCAATAGTGGTTCTTTTTTCTTATTTGCGGTAGACAAATACAATTGGGGACTCTTCTACTGTCAATTTTCCCTCAAGTGGACTATTTTTTTCATTGTCACAGCGATGATTTCTTTATCAGTCTAAATATGTTTCTTTTTGTGTTGCCATACTTATTACACAACACACTGAGGGCTTCCATAGTCCTCTGTTGCAACTTATACATAGTGCCCTCTATGCTGGTCTTTACCCCCAGTGTAACTTGGATCTCACTGTTAGATATGCCTGATGTCATCCGAATCCATGATTATCAGCAATCCCTTTCATATGGCTTCTTGTCCATCTGTTATTTGGTTCAGTGCCATACCTAATATACAATATTTTTATCCTAGAATCCCCACTGACTCATCTGAATCCCTCCGATTTTAAGAGCATCCATCGTAGTCTTCTACACGTATCTGAAGGGTGGCCCCGGGCTCGGTGTAATCTTGGGATATAACACGTCCTGCCATGCTTGTTCACCTCCACTCCCTCGGGCTTCAAGCTCCAGTCAAGAAGTGATACACTCTGTGGAGAGTTTCTGGCAGGTATCACGCAGCAGAATGCACTTAGGTACGCAGCCTAGGTCGCCTTGCTGCCCAGGATCTTCCTAATGCCGCTTGTGGGTCGCACAGCATGGTGGTACGTCAAGCCTTTTTCCCTCGGCTAGGGATTTTTTTCTTAGAAGTTCCCAAAAATAGTAAACTAGGTGATAAGATATTGTTAAAGGGTAGGTGTGGGGTTCTTCCGTGTTATGTGTATCCCAGACAACAAGCCACTGCACGACAACTGCCATATCGCGAGCCCCGGTCGTGCTAGAGGGTACTAGCTAGTATGCACTACAAGTGTCCTCTACATAGTTCTTTAATAGCCAGACTCCTTTATTAAGAGGTTTGCCGATTCTTTTTTGTTCATGTATGTACGGCTTCATAAGTGGTAGAGATACCAAGGCCTCCCCAGTCATCGCATCGAGTCTCACATCCTTCTCTCGCCCAACACAAGGTCGTGGGCGGCATCTAGCCCCCGCCAACAGTCTGAATCGTCCAGGTTTCAGGAGCATATCAGTATTAATCTGTGTAAGTATTAATAGGATTGTGATAAAAAAATGGAAGAGTTAACAGAAGGATAAGAAAGAAAGTATTTCGTTAGTTTAAAGCTCGCTTACTCGATCGAGGCTGCAGGCAGTATGGTCTTTGACTAGGCTATGCATAGTATTCAGGGTAGTTCTTATAGTAGTAGTAGCGGTAGTAGTTTTCTTTTGTTGAAAAAGAGGAAATGCCTTGATGCACACCGCAGGAACAGCAGTAGTGTGAAATTTTTTATTAGACCACTAATACTCACGAACTTTCCCCCGTACTGCATGGCTTAAGTTTCTACCCTGCAACCGCGTTACTATTAATTCAAGCTGGAGCCATTAGGAAGATCACCGTAGCTTACAATATTAACAAGCAAGATCGCCACCAGTTGCTAGGGGTGCAAATTTTCTCGAGTCCTAAAAAGGACTTGGGGCCCCCCGACAACCGGCACCCCTGTCTAGGCTGCATTCTTTGCAAGCGCCATGATATACTTGATGCTTTTCCTAGCTTATAAGTAAGAGTACTTAACGCAGCGTAAATCTACGTTAGTCTACTCTGCTTCTTAAGATTTTGATGCCTAAGTCCGCTCTGCTTGGGCCGTTTTCCTTGCCTTATCTAGTGCTTTTCTAAACGTGAGGCACTGTCGAGGGCTGCTTCTCTGCAGTCCTCATGGCGGGTACTGCTCCGCTTTGGCCTTGTTGCCAGTGGGCCCTCTCTTTATAACTTAGCATTTTTCCACCTGATTTACTGACTAAATTTTACTCATCAGTTTGCGTGTGCCCACGCCCCTTGTTCTGTGGAGGATCTCGAGCGAATAGTTGCTGGTGCGCCTCTTGCGATGGTTTTTCGTTTCGCCCGTTTACTGTGGTCGAGGTACGTCAAGCGATGTTGCACTGTTTCTCGAAGACTAGAAGTCAGAGCAACGATGGTCTATCACTGCATTATTTTAAAGATGTGTTCCCCAATATAGCACCCTTTCTTGTACATATATTTAATACTTCAATTGCCACTCATACATACCCAGACCTATGGAAGGTTCTCGTATTGTACCTTTACCAAAGGTTAAAAATCCCTCATGCCCCTCGCAGACTCGTCCAATAGCCAATTTGCCCCACTCGAGAAGACGTTAGACTATCTGATCGCAAATAAAATTCATGACTATTTGAAAAGCGCTTCGCTTTTATCGCCTTTTCAGTCAGGATTTAGAACCCAGACAGTTCTTCTGCGGGTGTCTGACGATTTTCGATGGGTATGGACAGGGGACTGATTACCATTTCTGTGTACACTGACTTTAAGAAGGCATTTGACACCCTGAATCATCGAGTTCTCTTGTTAGCACTCAAGCATTCGGGTTTCTCGGGGCTTTCAATTCGCTTCATCCAATTTTTATTCTTATCTGGGCGTTGCTTATCTGTGGTGAGAGGAGATGAAAGCATAGCTGGGCCTTGCGGTGTCACTTCGGAAGTCCTTCAGGGGTCATCGCCTGGTCCGGTGTTGTTCCTCAATTCGATTATATCGTGTCTTAAACACTGTAAGGCCATACTATTTGCAGACGACTTGCAGTTATACATTCAGTGCATGCCTGGTGATGCCCCGGATGCAATTGCAAAATTTAATGGGGATGCAGGTGCTGTTGTTCGTTGGGCTGATAAGCATGGGCTGTCTTTTAACTTTACCAAGATTAAAGCGCAACTATTAGCAACTCAACATCTACTTAGGAGGATTGACCCCTCGTGTATGCCTCTAATCATTGTTCATGGCACAGTGGTCCCTTTTGTTACGTCGGTTTGGAACCTGGGAGTTATTTTTACCGACGATCTTACCTGGAATGCTTAGGTTTCTTGGGTTTGTTCGGCTGTCCATGGGGCGTTGCGNATTCTCTCACTCTCTCTCTCGTTCTCTCTCTCTCTCTCTCTCTCTCTCTCTCTCTCTCTGTATTTCATGTTTTTGAAAGTTTTGGACTCATGGAATTTCCATCTTTTTTTTTCTTCCCTGGTGTTCTTGGAGGTGGAGGCGTTCAATTTACCGGGAACTCTTTTTAAGATTGCTAAGCAGTTACAGAGAACAACTTTTTATCAAGCGTAAGCTTTTCCATCAACATCCATAATCTGCTTTTTAATAATTTAAATGATATTAATATTATTTCGTTTCAAAGGAAAATTTAAACTTTTATTGAATGCACATGGTCCTAAAATACGAAATAGGTGGGAACCACCATCACATGGGATTCCAAATTTGTTGTTTTGCACCAAAAAATGGGCGTTGTAAGTGTTCCGTTACACTTTTTACTTTGGTAAAAATATGTGTCAGTGCCGTGGAACAGTCAAGTCTAAAGAGGCGAAGGTACAAAATAAATACAGAGGTATAGTGGGGTAAAGAAGTAATGTACGCCTCACCTTTGCAAAGTAGACAAGAGAAGAGATTAGAATTCGCGATTTTTAAAAAATCAGAAATTGAATATATTTTTTTTTTAACGATTACTTTATAAAAAAAAAAGAAAATTTTGAAGTAGGATCGAAATTTATTGGCAAAAATTCAAGAGTACCCACTCGAGACAAGGTCAAGATCATCAATGCAAGAGGAAAACCAGATTGAAACGATATTTTTCGAAAGCCCTCGATCCACGATACAAATGTTGAAGACGAATCAAATTGTCACTAGGTGATTGTAAAAAAATTAATTTTCCAAAACATGATCAACGACGTATATGTACTGCATAAATATCATACATCTTTATTTTTAATGCAAAATGTATAAAAATAATTCTTCATAAGTAACATTTTAATATTTTCGCAAATCCAGCCGCCTGCTTTTTTTATCTTTCACATACGCATGATATTTACACCTGCAATTTGTGCAAATTCAGTTGATCATACGGTTATATATTTATAAGTACGCGCGTGTACAAAAAACTGTTGCGTACGCGGGGATACAATCACTACACGGAGATAAGACAACGACACCTCTTTTATTGCGAGTATTCTGTATCTCTGTAACGCGTGTGCTTACTTATAACGCAAACATCACCGAAAGTGATGAAAAAAAGAAAGAGCTACACGTGTACGTACATGTGTATATAATTATGTAAACGCGCGTGTGTCGCTGCTGTGCACGAGCTCTGGATTTTCGAGGGGAGCAGACAAAAGGGGAGCAAAGCTTACATATATGGAATCGGTGGTATTGGTGGTGAGTAACGAGTCTCGAAGAGAGAGAGAGAGGTCATTCGCCCGATGTGTGCACGGGGGAGTATAGGCCGGCCGGCGGTGCGTCAGCTTGGATGAGGTCGCGACGAAGACAGAGCTCTCCGTATACACAGAGAGTTTACCCGGAAATCGGGCCGCCTCCCACTGCTCGGGTCAGGTGTGGGCATGTGCGCGCGCGCATGCACGTGTATGTGTTGTACACAGAGGAAGAGGTGCATATTGATGTTTCGGGGTTGACGGCCGGCTCGCCCCCCCCCCTGCTCTCTCAACTTCATCTCTCCCTAGCGCTATTTCTTTAGACCTTTCTCCCCCCCCCCGCCCCGAAGCTTCATTACGGCCATAATTAATTCCCCCCTTTTTTCCGATTCCGATGGAACAACAACGGTACGGACGAAAGTGTTTTTTTTTTTTATTTATGAGCTTTTCTTCCTCGTGTATTTAGATCTTCTACTTTATCGTGATTGTTTGCTTTTTTCTTTTTCTTCAAGATAACTTTTAATTTTGGAGTGTAAACACATAAATGATTTTTAACACTTTTTTCCGCGACAACGAATGTGTCAAGGACATTGTAAAATTACGAAATGCCATCACACGTGGCTTGTAATTTGGGTCATCGCTCCAAATCACTTTCCTAAAATACTTATTACAATTTTATGAATTTGAATTTTTTAAACCCTGCCCAACAAACCACAGTTGAGTACAAATCAATCGTTTTAGGTGAGGTGTGATCACACAATGTTGAATCGAGGGAGGTTTGACAACAAACCAAAAGTCATACAAGTATCAATGGGCTCAAGAGAGTTCGAAATACACCATCACGCAAATTGGGAAAAATTCGCTAAGAAAATGATTCCAGAAGCTGTAGAATAGAATTTTCACGAAGCCTCTTATGGGATGCAATAAATTTTCAATGCTTTCTGTGACAAATTTTTAATACTTAAGTACGGATACTAACGCAAGGTAATCCTTACAATCGGAAATTTATTGGCACCTGAATAAATGTAGGTTCAAGTAAATGTAAACGAGTTTCTTTCCCATACCAAAAACATGAAAATCAAACACGAGCAAAAGACCTTTTTAATAATCAAAGAAATATACACAACAGTGTTTTTTTCATATATTTTTTTACAAGAGGGATAGGAATGACTCCGAAACGAGGTGAAACTGCTTTTGTGTCTGTAAATTTCTACAAAAATCCCAAAAACAACACAGTCACTCAAATATTAGTTTTTTTTTGTTCACCAAAACTTCTTATGCTTTCATAATGACGTTAATAAATAGTAAAAAATTTAACCACATACTCGTTTGAAATTTTCCTAGTATCACGCATAACTTTCGCCAGATTTATTTTTGTCTCGAATTGATCGATTATGGGTCCTCGTTATAAAAAGCGACGATGTAAACGTTCAAGCACCCAAAGCTTGCGTGTGAGATTATTTCCCGATTCACGGAAGTAAGTAGTAAAAAAGCGGGGTTCACAACATTGTTTGGGATTCCAGTATACCTACGTATGCTATCAAGTGTAGGCTGCATATATACACACACTCGGAACAAGGCAGAGGCGCGTGAAACACTCGAAACAGTATATAAGAGCAGAGGGCGAGGAGGAGGAGGAGGAGGTTGATGCAGGGTTGCCGGGTGGGTTTGGTAAACGCCGCCGAAACGGCCGCAGTCAAGTATGTATAGCGGAGGCAGAGAACGGAGGAGCGGTGAACGAACGGGCAAACTCGACAGTAGACGGCAGCACTGCGCCTGGTGCGCACCTCTTCTTCCTTCTTTGCCTGCGTGTATGGGTCGTCCCTGCAATAAAATTACAAGTCGACGGCGTCGTTTGCTCACCAGCCGGGGAGAGAGAGAGAGAGCTGCTGCCCCAGCAGCTACCACGGTCTAGCTGGTGGCCGACCAACCTGGCCCCTGCAAACTCCTTTCTTTATCTCTCTCTCTCTTGGATGACGTTGTGTCGCTGTGTTTTTGTGGCAAGTGACGTTTAATGTGACTGTGCTGTCCTGGAGAAGCGCCGAAACGCCACCTGGCCGAGCGCGTCCCAGAGGTCGCGACGCCCTGCAACCTCCTACGTGAATCGTGGTGGTCCTCCCAACTTTGCAATAATAAATCCTTTTCCTTCTTTACCTCAGCTACATCTGTTTGCGTCTTCCTGCTCTTTGTTCTTCGTGTTCCTCTACGACTTCCAAACAACAGATTGACACTGTTCGCCAAGTACCTTCAACAGTTGATCTGTTTGTCCCTTCCTCCCGTGTCCCTCTCTTTTCCTCGTTTGTGAATTATCAAGCGAACCAGTGCGTGACGCCCAGTTGTTCTGGATGTGTTCTCGTTTGAACGGAGTGTCATGGTGTCGTCGTTGTTTTGGTAACACTAAACGCCCTGTGCATCGGAATTTCCGTGAGGATCGACAACGTTCCGGTGGCGTTATTGTCGGTAGTGATCGTAGTGCTGGTGCTATAAGTGCGTTGAAGCTGTGACACGTATCACATCGCAGAGAAAAAGAGGAGCAGTACCTATCTCTAGTTTTCTTCTGCCAAATGCCTCTGGAGCGGAAATTCCTGCGCACCACAATCCATAGGTAAACAAAGTTGGAGTCAGCCGCAACATAATACGAATACGTAAATGTGTTGTAAAGGAGAGAAAGAACAAATTAAATCATTTGAGCTAAGACTTTATGTCTAACGAACACAAAAAAGCAAAAGATAATGATAAGGAGGATAAAGAGATATTTTTATTTGTACCGATTACAATACAATCACATTGAACCAAAGAAACCCCAAATTGAAGATAGAACAAATAAATAAATTTAGGTAGCCGAGTAATAGAAATACGATAAAAATTTACATAGAACCCATGTGTCACTTTCAGAGTGGATACATAAGCAGCAGGGGTGTCGGTGATTAGAATTATTGCAATAATTGTTATTGTTTTTGTTGAGATTGTCACGCAAAAGCAGTAGTTAATGTAAATGCAAAGTAAAATTAATAGTATCAGTGGTAGTAGTATGGTCGAAAGACATAGTAGCTGAGCCCTGGGGACCCTGGGGATAATCGACGACTGTGTGACCTGCGCATCATTCACTTCCCGCAGCTACTGTTGCTGCTGTAGTGCTGCCGGCGCCGACGCCATTGATTTGCGACGAGTGAGGGGACGCTCCTCTATTTCTTTCTTTATCATATCTTTTTATCACAGATTTATTTCGGTCTGTCAAAACTTTTTTGTTTAGTCCGAGTAATTGATGTATGAAAGAAAATAATTTTCCATAAGCAACTAAATCATTGTTATTATTTTAGCCTTTTATTGTAAATAGTTGCTAAAAGAAAAATAAAAAACAAGTAAACCGATAAGGCAACTTTAATGTTTTTTAAATAGAATTGTGTTATTAATTTTCGAAAATGCAAATTTTAATGGTATTGCATTTGTAGTACAACGTCTCCTGAAGGGCTCCACAAAATTTCAAATAATAATTACAAAGAAAACGGCTTGTGGAATTAATACTTAAAAACTCGCAGCTCCATGCAAAAAGAAACAAGCTACCTTTGAAATCAAGCTATAAACCTTCTCTTTTTCTCATGTTTACACTTTTGTAGTTGAATCAGATTTCATTTACCTTTTTATGCACGACTGAACCTAATATAAGTAGGTCCCGCGTTTTATGTGTGGATGTATGTGTGAGCGTGATAAAGTTTTTCGACTAACTCAAGTCATTAGTGTGCCACGAGGCTCCAATTAGAAAACAACTTCAAGTTGATAATTACCGCTGATAGTTTAACACTTAGTCATATTTCACAAAGGGAAACAAAATTCCTAACATTATTACCAATATTTTAGTTAGTGCTATTGCTAGAAGCGAAACATGAGAATTTGACTGACTGTTGTTCGATTTGAAGGATGTTTGGAACTTTTAAACGATAAGAAGATGTCGGGGGATAATTTTGAAGTTAATAAACTACGACAGATTGGAAAATAAAATGGCGTGGGTATGTAAATACTACAACTGCGTTCTTCTATGTGTTGGCTTTGCTTGGACAAGCCAGAGTGGTGTAGTCTTTTTCTTCAGAATTTTTCAATCCGGATTTCATGGCAACAATTTACTGTGTAGTTGAACTTTTGCCTCCGCTGCTTCCACTGCCGAATCAGCTTGGTTTTTCGCTTGGCCTCAACCTTGACTTTAAGGCATTTGATGCACTGGACATTGAAAACGGACTTTAAGGTTGGAGTCCAGGTTAATTGCCATTCTTTCGCATTCAGAATACTTTGAGTTTGACGACTGGAACTTTAAACTGGATTTCAATCAGGTTTTCTTGTTTAGTGGAAGTCTTAAGCAAGTCTCAGATAAACACGACAAGATATCCATCTTGTTTTAGTTGATGCGTTATGTTGTGTTCTGGGCATTGGAGTTGTCTAGACGTTTACCAACGTCATGGACACCTTCGACTATTTCCATGCACGTAGACCTTAACACGTTTGACGATATTTCTTAGTCTCCTCCTCTTCTGCACTCGCGACTGCATGAAACGTAAAAACGTTGCTAGTAGTAGGTGTAGTATCTAGTGGTTGCACTTTGCAGGAAACGCGCTTCCCTTGGCTGTGTCGGAATACCTTGGCCCCGCGCCAAACGCTTCAACCTCCATTTGCAATAAAACACGCCCGTGTCTGCCTTTTGCTTGGATTCCTGCTACTGTGCGCTGTTGCTACGAATGCACACGTATTCGTCCGAATGCGTATTGCCCGGATAAGCAAAACTGTAGGTCTGAAAGAAGAATGGGAGTAGGTTGCTATACGAAGGTTCGCCAGTGTATCTGTACGCTCTCTTCTACAAGGAAACACCATGATCTCTTTGATGCGGAAGCCACAACCAGTAAATTGATTATTTAAATATTTAAAAAAATTAATTGGTATGGATTGCAATAATTGCGTAGAAGGGAAAAATATTTCTTATGAATTAAGGAAGTTCAATAGTTACGTCCGGATAGAATAAAGGGAGGTTTAGATGAGAATTTATGTGTAATACGATGTTTTAAAGTTGCAAGTTTTACTTTATAACTTTTAGTAAAACGATTTCTGAAAGTAATTTTGTAAAAGCCATCGTGTCGCTTTGAAAGTCGAGTTGTGATCAGACGGTGCTAGCTTGTCTCCCATGGCATTTAGCATAGCAGCTTTATGTGATTGTAAACTTTTGTGTAACAATATAGCAATTTACTTTGTGATGCCCCGAAACACTCACAAATGATTCCATTATAGCCAAAAGTTCTCGAAAGTATATTACTGTTCCCTAAATTTTAATAGTTATTTGTCAAATCCATGGAGAGACTGATTTACGATCTATTTTATTTATACAGGCATCATCTAGTAATCCAATTTACGCAGACTTGGTAATGAACAGAAAAAAAGATTATTTTTAGACTAACAGAAAATTTATTTATTTCTATATAAATTTATTGAACTGCAATAAAGAAATCTCGATTTATAATTGACTTTAAAAAATGAGTTTATTAACAATGAGCCAAGAGTATGAGTCGTTATGAAGATTCAAATCCATTCAAATGAATTAGTAAATTAGTCGCATCTCATAATTTACTACTTGAGACGGCTTGACTTACTTACAGTGATAGTAATAATAATAGAATAATAATATTATTATATTTAAATAAACATAGATTAATACAAAATTTAATCGTTTACTCTCTCTTACAGCCACGAACTGGAAGGAGATCTCGAGGCCGTCCAGGTAGCGTGACTCAGCTGAAGGCGTCACTAAGATCGCACAGTCTTGTTTCGCCACCTATTGAAAAAGGTTTGTCCTTAAAATATGCTCGCTGATTTTTCGTTCTTAGTATCAAAATATTAACTTTTCGGTAATTTCTTGTTGTTATTGGTAAAAAACCCAATTTAAATTATCTTTAGTCATTTTTGCTATTTGGAGTTTTCATATGATTTTTTAGGAAAGGGTGTGAGATACAAAAAGTTATATTTATTTTAAATCCACAAAATTTATCCAAAACATTCTTGTGTAAAAGGTTAATGTGTAAATCTACAACAAAAGTATTTTTTTCGAAACCTAGTCGCAAAAAAGTTAAAAGTTTTTTCCATTACCAATATTTGTCTGTTGGTCTGGAAATTTTATGACATACACACGGAGTTGATTCCACATCTAATAGAAAAAGTTTTATTTGCCGTGAATTTTTTAACCCCAGTTAAAATTCGAATTCTTATAAGATAAGCCTGCGTTCAAGTTTCGTGGCCTCAGTTATGCAATATTTTTTCGGAGACGATTAAGCCCCCCTCTCTCGCTTGATAATGGAAGAACAACCAGTATGTAAGATACATAACGTGTCGTCACATGGAAAAGAAAAGCATAAGCATTGAAAATAAAGTAGGATTTTAATTAAGAGACGCCAATCTCTCCTGAATACCCACTTTTTTCCATTTGCTTCCAATAGAACTTTTCATTCTCCTGATGAAAGGAAACGGAAGAAAAAGCAATTTCACGTGTCATAAGTCTGCGTCTGATATAAGCGTAGAAAAAAAATATGGGTAAAAGAAGACTTTACTTTCGAGCCACAAAAACTTGAGAGATAAGTGCGAAGCAAAGAGAAGTACAGTAACGCAGGGCAGAGAAAAGAGACGGTGGGGAAAGTATCTTTGAGAGATGCTCTAAGAAAACAAGAGAGACAGCAGAGAAAAGTTGTCCCACCAACAAACTTTGTGCATTAGTACTGAAAAGTTTGGCAAAGCAGACGATCCACTGTAGTTGTTCATATGTGGATATACTGAACACTTAAAACTTGACAGGTATACAGAAAAATATAACGAGAATTACGGGGAGGACGAAATTTGTAAAAAAATTACCATTCGAACATAACGATTGCATCCAAGCCACCAAAAAGTGTTTAATTTCATGGGTCTCCTGTATATCTGAATATGTCCAAAAAACATTTATGTGAATTAAATTTTAGTGAATTTACGAGTTCATGACTTAAATAGGTATGCAATACATCCCAAATATAAAGGTCGAGTATTCTTAAGACGTCACTTGCGATAATGTGTGTATAAAAAATACATCAAGTTGACCTTATGTCACTTCAACCTTTCGATAAATGGTTTATCTGGATAACATATCAAACCTAATAAACGGCCAGAACCACCATGTGAATCTTTGAATTATATCTCCGTTATGGCAATGGTTGTTTTTCTCTCCACGAGTGTGGATTACAATATATCACACGTGACTACTTTTTGTATTGCAAGCTTAATACACAGTAAATTACTCCTTCGGCTCCGTCTATATTATGTTACTTGGCAGTCGTTGACTGACATCTTTTATCATTTTCTTTCGTTTGTTGGGCATCGAGTTATCTTTTTTGACTAGATAAATACTTGTATAACCAAGTCCTCAAAAATATTCGAGATAGGTCGGAATCTCCTTAGACTTTGCATACATTAGTAAACATGAAACAAGTAAGGCGTGACACGCCCTTTTTCAGCTCTATGAAGTCAATAACTTCAACGTATTTTGTGGTAACATCAGAAAAAATCTTCAATTTTTTATCAAACATTAAATTAAGTTTGTAGTTTAGTCGTACACTTAGATATGTTAACTGATTCTCGGTCTAGACAAAAACACGCCTCTGCTAGTCAAGTTCAGATTAGATTAGAAATTCCTGAAATCCCTTATCAGACATCGGCCATTCCCAACCTTATCTAATCTTTGCGTCTCTGAAATCATAAAGAAGGTACGCTATTGCCTTTATCGAAAATCAGTTTTAATGTGACGCATATCAATGGTTCTCGAGTAATTTTGATACGTGGTAGGAATCTCATATCAGGCAGTTGGATCGAGTTGGATCATCGAAAAAAGCAGCCCTCCTCTTTATCGTCAGATATATAAATATTATTAAAATGGCAAACCACCATAATTCCACATAATGAAATTATACTTCTTTGAACAACATATCGAAGGGCCAATGCTCGAAAGTCTTCTGTTAACGTTTACGAGCCATATCCACGTATGACCGGTCATAGAGAGAGGAGTACAAAGGTCCTGTCTTTGGAGCTGCTCAAGTCAAATGGACCATGATGAGGCGTGAATAACAGCGAGCCTATTTCTTGGTCTCTTTCAAGCGGAGCAAGCCTTACATTCCGGCCTTGGCTCGATCCGACGTCACTCGGGTACGTCTTCTTTAAGGCGGCGGCCGTGCTGTCGGTATACACACAGCACCGACACTATATGCTGACATCTTGCGCGCGCACCCCCCCATTTCCATCCCTCGATCCACTCTGCATTCGAAAGCGGTGCCTCCCCACGATGGGCCACTCGACAAAGGAGAGGAATAAAGTGAGACGACGAGAAAGGTACGATACAATGGAACAGTGCACCCATGCAAACGAAAAAAAACGGGCACGACCACGAAAATCGTGGAGCTCATCGGAAAAGCAGAGAGACGTTGATTTTGGGTCGACGAGGTCAACGATACTAATACAGAGGACGATTTTCTTTTTTTCTTTTATCAATAGTACAGTATAAAATAAAGATACGCCTTAAGGACGACGCGTGTAGGCTTTTTATCTTGGAACGTGCGCCACAGATGTGATTCACACGCGTAGGTCTTTCAAACGCGAACAGGTTTGGAAATAAACTCGTCTTCCTTCATTAACAGGCTCCTCGGCCGCGAAGTGGGAGAAAGCAGCCGTATAATCGCGCCATCGCGAGACTTCCACAACAGGTTTGTTCGATCGTGCGCATCGAACTGCCCGGATCTGATCTAGGTCGGCCCAATCTGGTCTGATCTCGCGGCGAAAACCGTACGGGTATACTCATCGTATGTAGTTTGGATAAAACACGAGTGAGCTTTTCCATCGGTGTGTTGTACATTGACGAAAGAACGAATTCTATACCCATGTGCTTTCTCGCTCGTTTTCTTCCTTCGCCTTTTTGTACGCGGGTGTGCGGTGGGAGGTCGTCTTTGGAAGCAAGGGACGGCAGCTTTGCCGCCCGTAATCTCGGGACAATGTTTCTTTTTTTTTTTTTTTTTTTTTTTCCACGAAAGTCAGATGAATATCTGAACAGACGAAAGAGGTGAAACGGGAAAGAGCGCGTGCAGTCGTGGTGAAATTCACGAGGTATACATGTACGGCTTGCCTTTCGCCCCAGTCTCTCTTTTTCTCTCCGAACGCCGAGGGCGCGAGAAATAAAACGAAAGGAGGAGGCCATAAAACGCGAAATATTACCTCCGATGCAGAGAATGGCTGTAAAATCGAAACCGGATCTCGGGGAGACCCAGTGTGCAATCATACACGCGCGCGCCCGCACACACACAAACACACACGTGTTGTGTAAGGAGTAGGGGAGGGAAGTAAAAACCAGTGCTTGTCCGGGCCCTCGTCCCTCTTTTATATCACCACCATCTTCGCTCATTTGCTCTTTTTTCCTCGCTTTTTTCCATTTTTTTCTTTTTTTTTTCTTTTTTTTTTTTTTAATTTTCTTCTCCCGGTTGCTTTTTATCTGTAGCTCGTTTTTTTTCTCCTCTGGCCTCCGAGATCCTACTTCTTTTTTTTATTTTTATTCCTCTTGCCTTGCCTTGAATGATAACCACCCCCAACCCCCTTTCTTCATGAGGTCGCGCGTGTTTGCCTTGCATTTACACGTAATTTTTTATACTTCAATCAAACACAATACTTGAACGAGCTACTTTTTTAAAATTCAGTATACTTTCAATGTTCAATTTAGAATAATCATAGAAAAAAAAAACAAAACTGATGGTCTACATTTCTGACTTCCCTTACTAATGTGTGGCATGACGCACTTTTCCGTGTCTCGGGAGCACGGAGTAAAAAAAAAAAAAAAAGCCAAAATATATTGTTACAAGTTTTTAACGTATTGAGTATCATCTCATTTACATTTCGTAATTACAGGCCTGTACGGAAACCCTTGGCAAACACGCAACAGGTAGAAAAGTTACTTCAGGACCAATTTCGCCTTTGTTCAACCCATTTTACGAAATCACCACTTTGCACATATTAGCGATTTAGTGTAAAACTCATTAGTTTTTCATAAAATTTTTGTTGAACTTGAGTGTGAAGATTATTTTAAATTACAAGGACTCAAGGATGGGTGGAAACTCATTGCAAACATTACAGTACATGTGGCCGAGTGATGGGATGCACCGCGTAGCAAAAACGGGCTCGGATTCATACATATACGCGCGTGTTTGGTCGCGCACCCGTAAATTATATCGTAATCTATATTCGCTCCGGTGCTCGGTATGAGTGCGCCATACTCTCCCTCCTCCACCTTTGGCTCTTTTACTGCTCCTCTTGGCAAAGTCACGCGAGCCCCATTGCGTCAGAGCTGCAGCGTAGGTATATTATGTACGCGCCCACACATAAGAACCTATTACTACAATTACTAGTTATACGACGACGGCGTCGGTGGTGGAAGTGACGGCCGTGCCATTAACCCAGAATTCCTCGAGGACGGAGAACTAAAGCTCCTGCCTCCCCAACTCTTCCTCGCCGACCCCATGCTATGTGGTTTTCTTTTTCTCTCAATTTTAATTTTTTTTTTTTTTTTTCACTTGTTTTTCTCCCGACCTTTTTGCGTCACTATTTACGTGTAGGATTGACAAGGCCAAACTTGCTTCTGGATCTAAAGATGCAAAGAGATTACCAACTCGAAGAAGAGTTTGACTCATGCATCGACTCCCTAGATAATATTTTAAGCGCTAGCGCAGACAGAAATTCATAAACTACTCACAAATGTTGCCAAACGCGTGGAAATTACTAAATTGTAACATC